CAAAGTGGGTGCAATCCTATATTGAAACAACAATCTGCTGAGCTTTTGAAGCTGTGTAGTTTGAATTATTCAGATACTATCTTCATTTCCAAATGCAAGCTTACTAGAACCATCCAATGAGTTCGCGGGCTTTAATCTGGTTGCATCAACAATTCATGGGTTTGCAAGGCAGGAGAAGCTAAATGATCTGCCACGTCTCAGATCGCATGACTCAGGTTAACCCCGATACATGATGATGGCGTGGAGTTCTGTTCCAACAATTAATTCAAATGAAGAAGAATCATAATTTGGACATTCTCGAATATAGCCAGAGTGGGTTCAATTCACTCCTGCGAGTTGCTTGTCCTTTTTTTCCTCTTTTCAAATAAGCCCGTCAAGAAGATACCAAGACTGTACACTGTTTTGGGGCATGCGGATGTGAGAATTGAGAGCTATTGTTGGGATAAAGGTATTTCTTTGGAGTGAGCTCGCGGCAAAGATGGATCTGGCAATGTCAATTGTAATTGTTGAGAAGTTGCTTTGCTCCATGGCTTCCATGTGCCATCGATTTTGGAACTGAACAGCCTCCAAGATTACATTAAAAATAGTGAGAATTTTGCTTTTGACGTAAAAGAATGTAGAGACTTTTTCATTTAATGTGTACAATGCACAAACCATTTCTGTTCTCAGCCGTTCACATAGCCTTTCGTTGTTAATGCAACTTGGTCGAATGACGACATTCATATTGATTAATGATTCGATATCAACCATGTGGAGTTTTAGAGTGTAGACGGAGTGGATGGAACAGTATAAAGTGATGTGAAGTGGGATGGCTTGATTTCATCAGGAAGTCCGCGGAAGACTGGACGTCTCGCGTCCGGGTGTTCATGCATCTACATTATCCTTCCTTTCCTTTTTGTGATTGGGTCTGAGGAGGGGGACCCCCAACGTAACCTCTCGCTGATCTAAATACGATGCTTTGCTGCTCGGAAAAGAAAGAAAAGAAATATTTAAAACAGGAGCGTTGAATTGTTGTTTGGCTTCCACATTCCTCCAAATCGGGGAGCAGTCGCCTCTTTATACTCTATCACACCGTGCATGTGTGTGTTGAGTTTGTTTCCAAGAAATTGCAGATTTCATATGAAAACCTGCTCGTAGGATTAAAAAGAAGAGGGAGGAAATAACTGAAAGTTATAAATGGGTGCATGCACGCTTTTTTTTTTTTTTGGGAGTAGTACAGGCAAGAACAGTGCTTGAAAGCAAACAAGAAAAAAACCTACTACACTAAAAACTAAGCTAGGAAAAAACACAGGTGCATGCACAATCTATCCCATTGTGAAGTGATATACGTCCTCAGGCCTCTAGCCACTGACGTCCCTTCACCAATTTCCCATTTAGGCCACGTTGTTTGCAATTACTAACTTGCTATTACGCACACACATGCGCCCACGCGCTCAAACCTTCATCAGATTTCAGTATATTTACAGTTAGTTACCATTCAATAGCAATGAGACTTAAATGGAACTGGTCCTTTAACTTCTTTTTTGTGAAAAGATTGTATTTTACTCAACTGTTGAAAGCCGCAAATCCTTCCAACTCTAACAATCAAAAGCGGTACTTGAGTATGCTGAAAAAAATTATCACCGGCTGAAACCTCCGTTTTAGGTTTGATGCAGATATTCGGAATCCACTAGAACGAAGCTACTATTTATTTGTAGAGCCGATAACATGTCCCACAAAAAGGTGACGGTCTGGGCTAAAAAATAGGTTCGTTTAGATGCAGGGCAGTATTAACTTAAGCCGCATACCCTGAACTCGTGGGTTAGCGCTCTTATATTTAAAAAAAAATAAACAAAAAATAAATGAATGAGGTTTAATTTAAAGAAAATCATTCAAAGTAAGCATCCATGGAATTACAATTTAAGCAGTTGACCCTTATACATTTATTTAATTTAAGTTTAAATTATGGCATAAAATAATAAAAACACATCACTTGTATATAAGTTAAATATCTCAAATCATAGTATTATATTTTTGTTTTGTCCATATAAAGATTTGATTTAAAAATTACCAATCATTTTCAGTAATTAATTGGACCTAGTCATTTATGTTCTTTCAGTGTTGAAGAATTCTAAAATCTAAGCAAAACACAAAAAGAAATTTTGAATTTGAAAAAAAGAAACTTGCATAAAGTGCAAAGATAAGATAACTAAAGAATCACAAAATTAAATGAATTTATATTTAAGTGATAACTAAAAATACATGACATTTTTGAACAGAGAGAGTATTATATTATATATATATTTTAAAAATAAATATTTTTTATTTAGGTATTAGAGCCAAGTCTTAATTCGATTGGGCTTGGCCTGAATTTTTTCAAACATAAAAAATTATATTTTTTTAAGCTTGGTTTTAAATTTTTTTAGACGGGTTCAGGCTAGTGTAACAGTACGGAGCCACCCCTTGGGCCTCAACTCGGTACTGGACTCTGGCCCATCACTGGACCAAAGCCGACTTTCCCACAGGTGGTGACCCAATGGTACCAGATTTCGCCTCAACTTCGTTAAGGTGGTAGAGGTTGGAGGTTCGAGTCTGGGGAGGTTCCAAAAGACCCTGGAGAGGCAGTGGTGAGGAATAACCACAGTACCACCTGTGGGAAAGTCGGCTTTGGTCCAGTGATGGGCCAGAGTCCAGTACCGAGTCGAGGCCCAAGGGGTGACTCCGTACTGTTACACTAGCTCGTTAGATTAGACTCAAATTATCAACCCCACCCATTGCTGGCCAACTCACAACTTGCAGATTGGCTGATATTATTAACTTTATTTTTTCATCAACTTATCAAAGTGACTTTAATTAAGAAATCAAAGGATCTAATTGCATTTAAAAATAATTTAAAAGTGGACAAGAAATAGATGCATAAATAAATTCACTGATGATTTATTTTACAACATAGAAAAGCCAGTAAAAAAAATTAAAAGAATGCTAGGGGATTATGATTCACCTATCAAGAGGGATTGTTTTAAATCTTACCTTCTAACTAAATCATGAAGCTGTCATTTAAGCGACCACAAACTTCTCAATTATTCATAATTTAGTTATATGTGTCTATTTTTTTTGGTCTAGGTAAATTTTTCACCTTTTAATTCATTAAACTACCAACTAAAAATCTATATAACTGATGTTTATATAAAGAGTAATTAAAACATAAAGATAAATGTAAAAGCAAGCATAAATTCTCGGAGATAAAAATCAATGTTCAATGAGAAAAATAAAATAACTAAATAAAAGAGCAAATTCATTCTAGTCAAGCTACTCCCTAACTTTGACTGGGAGTTTAGCAAAAACTCAAAGTCAAAACTACAATATTAGATAAGATATAAAAAAAGAATCTAAAAAAAAGAGAAGAAAGAAAGCTCCCAACTCAAAAGATTTTTGTGGATCCTATAGTATCCCTCATCATAAATGTTAGAAGGGAGATTTGATGTCTTCCTCTTGATAGAGAGGAGTATTAGTTTAACTAGAAGCTTCTCTTTTCTTTTCATAATTGATGTGGGATTCCAATATACTCTTTCTAATATCATTTATAAAGAACCTTTTAGAAGGTTCATTTGATTTTATTTATAAGTTATGGTGTAGCTTATTAGGTAATATTTCAAAGGTATTTTTAAAATTACCCTTCATAAGAGAGAAAAAGTAACATGACATTACTTTTTAAATTTGTTATATAGGGGCATATTTGAAATTCTACACACTTTTATTTTTTATATTTTTTTTGCATTGATATTGATGATATTAACAGAAATGAGTTATAAAGAGGATTAGAGGAGTATAAATTATACTCCCTTTGCTCTTATTTATAGGATAGGGAGAAATTTTTTTTGATCTTATTTATAAGTCACATCACTAAATTTTTATTATAATTTTTTTTTTACCTTCCATTGAATGTTGGAAAAAAAATATATTATTGAAGTGTGTACATTTAATAAGGGTCAAGTTGAGAATTTATTAAATTTTAAGACAAAGTTAATAAATTTTAAAGTTTTTTTTATACTAATAAAATATGTTGAAAGTAATTTATAAATAAGATTAGAGAAATAATATGATAAAAAATCACTTCCAAATGCGAGATCTTCTCCTCTTGAAAATCAAGTATAGAATGCACCCCAACTTGTTAACATCATCTTCTCTAAATCTCCAACCAAATAATTTATATATATATATATATATATATTTGTTTTCATAATTATGGATATGCTGCTTCTCCTTTGTGTGTATATATTTCTTTTCATTATTCTTTTCCTATTTTCCTGCACAAAATATAAAAATAAAAGGATATAAGTAGATTTTGATATTTTATGACAAAGATTTTTCTTTATCTTATAATTAAGTGATAAAAAAAAATATAAATATCAATTAAATAGATATAAAATTTTAATAAATTTAATCAAATATAAATCAAAATAAATGTCTATTGAAGTTTAATTATAAAATATGTACTTATTATATAACAATATAAGATTTGAAAATTTTATATTGATATTTTTTACCCGTAAAAAAAACCTTATATCTTATATCCAACGACATAGTCGTATATACCTGGTGGATTTCTCTTTCTCTGCACCTGTACAAAATGCGTAGAAATATCTCCCTTCAAAATTTGAAACTTACCTTTTACTGGGGCCTACTTTTAAAGACTTTACTCCCGAAATGGTGCAAATTTTGGCAAAAAAATCACTTTGCTTTCAGACGAACTTGTTAGAAATTAAGGCCTTAAAGGGCTAATCGGCTACACGGGTAGGACAGTTAAGTCATTTAGTGTATCATTCAAAACCACCTTGACCGATACCCCACGATCCAAAGGGCAAGACGAGAGAGAAATGCTGACATCAGTAACTGTCGTAACGGAATTTGAGTTTGCATGTGCATGAGATTCCAATCCGAACATCTTAAGCCCAATGTTCAAAATTTCCCCCCTGTACCTTCTTCCTTTCTCACCCTCCAACTCACAGAACTTTCCGACAATGCCGTCCAATTCTGGTAGTAAACGTCCCCCACGGCCGCCGTCTCCACCACCACCTCCTCCTCGTCGTGTGAGTCGTCGACGCAAAAAAGTATCAGAGTCAGAGGAAGTCTCACAAGAAACAGAGTCAGAGGAAGTCAATTTATTCAGAAAAAAGTACCAGCGTAGACACGGGAAAGATATATATGAAGTGCCAGATGAGGTTCCTCCTGAGTCGAGTAAAGAAGCCAAGAGAAGGCGCAACTTGGTCCAAGATCATCAAGAACTCAGTAAAGCTGAGAAAGATGAGCTCCAATCCGCGGCCGTTGAGCTTTTCCTTTCCAATAATCCGACGCGCTTTCTATCTCTCGTCTGCGACTTCGCTAGCTCGTCCGTTTTTCATCAGAACCCACAATCACAAGTTAAGGCCCTCTGGAATTTCTTTGCCCATCAATACCCAAATGCTTTATCTCTCATGCTCGCTCGCCTCCTCAACTCGCGTCTTCCCTCTAATACCGTAATGTACACCGTTGATCTGCTTCACCTCACTATAAATCGGATTCACGGTCAAGATCGGTTTATAATTGATAAACGTGTCCTTTTCCATCTCAAACCCCTGCTTCTTAACGTTATTCAGAACCACGAATCAATACCGAACCTGCTTAATTTATCTGAAATAGCTGCCAGGATATTTGAAATCGAGAGGTGGGGTGAACTTCTTGACTATCTTTTACACGCCCTTGACACGAACTTCGAAACGAGGCAAGAAATGGCACTCAGAGTGCTATCGACTTTGCCAGAGTCGAGGGAAGAGTGTCTCGGGGCATACAAATTTTGGTGGGCCAACCATAAGTCGCTTAACGTTAGATTCGGCGAGCTATTTGATTCCCCCAATCTCAACATCCAGGCTCTGACATTCGATTCCTCTATTAAATTGGTACGCCTGCTGCACCGGTGGAGGTTTTACAGCGAAATCGACGTCCTATTACCAAAGATGATTTCCTTCCTGCGAGCAATTCACGGCGACGGTCAAACCCGTATTGTGGAACCAAGAATAATGGATTTGGTGGAATTAGCCAGTTATTACACGGACCCTTTTTTGACGCAACTTGATGTTGTCTTGGACTGCATGTTCCGAATTGCGGTGACTGCAGATGACAACACTTTTCTCACGTTGCAGGCGATTAAAATTATTAAGATGGTCGATGACCAGGCTGTGGACCGGGTTTCAGAGTTTCTTGTTAAACTTTCTGAGGAGGCTAAACGCAGTATTTTCAAGAATTGCGTGCGCTTGCTGGTTTGTATTGCAGACGTTCCTGCTTGGTATGATGTGGACATGACTTCGAGTGAATATATGGGGATCTCAGAGAAGTACATCCTAGGAAAGTTCTTACTCTTCCGGCTCTGCTGGGATTCACACGAAGACATGCTACTTTCCTTTGGAATTGAGTTGATACCACAGTATTTGAATTCTGAAGATTGGCAGACACGTCATGCAGGATTGGTTGCCTTTGCTGAAACTGGAAGCGCATGTAGCCCCGTAATCTAATCTTTTCCCTGCGATCGTTTTAACTTTGAAGAGTTATTATAGTTTAAGAAAGTCGCAATTCCTTTTGCTCCTAAAGATCTATATGCATTGCATATTTTAGCTTTCTGTTCAATAAATTTAGGAATATGTGTTTAACTATTTCCTTTATTTTTGTCTTCTTATCGTCTCTCCATCTCTCTCTAATCACTTTCTATATTTCTCTACGGCTGCCACGCAGGCGATGATACGTGACCATGCTGAGAGAGTGCTAGAGATTTCGCTGACTGATCCCCACCCTCGCGTTCTGTGGGCTGCCATTGAAGTAATTAGATGTTTAACTACAGACTCTGATCAAGAGCATGTCCGATATCTAAATAACTTCGTCCCTAGACTAGTCACCATAATTAGATCAGCTTCCATTTATCCACGTATTCAGGTATAAACAGACACCAACAGGAGTTTGCTATCTTTGCACCCAAATTAATATTACCTGTATCCTTAAGATCGAATTTCCGTGTGAGATTAAGTATTATATCCTCGTTCTTAGAATTTCCTACGTACAGATCTGCATTACATAGCTACAATAGTCGCTAACTTGCCTATACATCAATGTGTGTGTGTGTGTGTGTGTGTGTGTGTAATCTGCAGTTGCATGCTGCTACAGTAGTTCGTCGCTTGATTAACAATTGCGGCGATGAAGAAGTGAAGTCATTCGCGGAATGTTTGGAGCCTGAATTGCTAAAATTTGTTAAGGTATAGATGACTAGGCATGGATATTTTTGGGAAATCATTGGCTACATCAAATATATATATATCTATATTTTCTCTAGTATTCACAGTTTTATGTAAATAACCTCTTTATGCAGCAAGGCGGGGTGTTCCGTGAAGAAGCTATTGAAACACTGAAATTATTGGCAGCATCATTTCCGGTATATCAGGACATACACCTCAGACTCAAATGGCGTCGAACCATGATGATGAATCGATGTGGGTTTTATTTATCCCATAAAACTTCAATGCGTCAATTTGTTGGGTGCAGGTCATTTTTCGAAGGCACTATCAGGAAACAATGGATTCGCTGAGAGACCTTGTGTCTCAATCCTTGTTTGGGGCACAATCTATGGAATACTTGAGTTATATTCTCTCCGGAATTCTCTCGGACGAGTCTCTTTTCGTTTTAAATGATTCTCAAGAGGTAATCAATAATAATTCTTAGCGTTAAGGGAAGAAGCGAGCGTTGATCTATAAAAAATCTTCTGTATTCAATAATATATACTTGCATTTTCACTCCTAATTATAAAATACTTTCCAACATTTTTTTTATGCAAAAAAGAAGAAGAAGAAGAAGAAGAAGAAGAAGAAGAAGAAGAAGAAGAAGAAGAAGAAGAAGAAGAAGAAGAAGAAGAAGAAGAGAGAATCACGTGACATACACATAATTTAATTTAATGGCTTTGATTAGGGGTAAATTCAAAACGTTGTTGATTGTTCTTGAAAAAAACTAAAACCGCTAAAATAATTGTTACTAACAACTTTTATAAATGTGTGGTTAAAGTGTATTTAATTAAGGAGGGATAAAAATAAAAGTAAATATTGATAAAAGGAAAATGATTTCAATATAGATTTACGTCTTTTTACATTACCATCTCTCTTCTGTCTGCATGTCATTTCTCTCCTTTTATCTAAATACATTTAAAAACACATAATTGTGTACACTTGACTGATTATTTTCTTCTTTCTATTATAATGTTGCTTTAGCAAAGTTGCTTGTTTAAAAAATGATTATGGGCAGTCAAGGATGAAAATTAGATAAATATATTTTTTCTAGTTATAATTTTAATGAACCCTGTGTGTTTGGTCACTTAGCTTGGAAATCTGAGTTAAATGTTGTTTATCTACTTTGATTTTAGTTTGGCTTCTAATGTATATGACTTGTACCCCTTTGAAGGTTTTCCTCATTTTGACTCGAATTGCAAATAATTGGAATGGTACCGACAGCAGAGCAAAAATTGACGTCTTAAAGGTATATGCTGTTTCTCCTCTCGACCCAGTAAATAAAGAGGTCATTTTTATGTATTTCAAAATATCATTCCATTTTTTTTTTACCTCAATCGGTATTTTGTGAATCTAAAACTTGGTTTAAATCCAGAGAAAAGTGAAAAAAAAAGAATGAAAAGAAAATTAGAAGGAAAAGTTTTTTAAAAATAATAAAAAAATTTATTATTCTTGAAAGCTCTTCCTTATAGTTTTCCTTTCTTATTTTTTTCTCCACCAAGACTAAGAGACGCTGAAATTAAAAATATTATTTTTATTTGACGAAATTCATAGTAGGATGACTTTGCTTAGAAATGATCAACTAACTCCTCGGTGATCATTATTTGCTTCATTAAATTCTTTCTAAAACAATACTTGCATCAAAAACAGTTGAATGATATTGCTTGTATGCTTGGATATTTGTATTCACAAATACTAAAATATTCATGTTAACATTCTTCCTAGCAATATATTTAATATAATGAATAATTGGTTATTCTCTCATTAAAATATATAATTAATCAAAAGATAATTTCGTTAAGAACAAATAAAAGCCAGGAAGAGCAGTTCTCACAACATATAGCTAGATTTTTGTTTTATTTTCAATAGCTCAGGCTATAAATAGTCCAATGATTTCTTCCTTACATGTATTATCAACGCGATGCAGGCATTGTCTCAATTGTGCAAACTACAGCAGCTGGAAGCTGACAAATTTCTTAACATGATCATGCCAATGTTGATTCAGACCCTTGAAAATACTAATCCCTATACCATGTTTGGCTTCTAATCTTCCCTTCAGCTCTACGTGAATTCTTTTTTTCAACATTGTTGCCGTCTAGCTACTTTGAGCATAGCGGCCGCCATCATTCATAACAATATATCTGTTTTGTAGGGCGCTGACCACCGATCAGCAAAGTACGACTTGCCCTGAGCTAAGACTTTTGGCTTGTGATTTACTGTCAAAGCTTGCTGTTCGATTCGAGGACGAATTTGAACCTTGGGCTTCCAGCGTAATACATGCTTATATACATAGCTTTGATTTCGATAAATATAGAGATTGAGACTTTTCCTGTGACTGATTACGACTTCCAATGATTAGGTCGCTCGTCTTTTGACCCGCCTGTTCAGCAGTACTGACCCTGATGCTAAAATCGTATCTGTTGAAGGTATTTTCTGATTCCATCATAATAATATTATTTAAAATATTGGGTTGCTAAGCTTCCCTTAATTTCTGTTTCTAGTCCTTCCAAACATATTGCTTCCTTGCCATAATTGGAAAGAAGGTCGTCATAGATTTTTGTTTAACTTCAGTGTACGAGCTCTGGTCGAAGCTTTACAAGAGGTATTTGGTTGTGGTCGTTAAGATTATTAAAACATTCATTGGTCTCTGTTTCAACCCGCACTGTCGTTGCCCAATTTCTTTCACTGAACCAGTGCAAGGTTCAATTTACTGCAGGAAATCGACAAAGTGAATCGTACAGTAATGTTAAAAAGCCTCAATGCATGCATTGTGGTAAGTGGAAACGTCCGTTGAAATCACAAATATCTATGAAGATATTCTTGGCTTATATTCTTCTATTACGGATATCACAATGTGCTCGTGCAGATCTGTGGAACAGTTTTAGATGTAGACCTAATAAGGACGATTGCGGATCAGATATACCATGTACTCTCTCAGAAGTCACTTGCCAATATGGAAACAGAAGAGGGAGAAGAAGCATCGTCTGTTGCAATCGCATGTGATAAACGGGAACTGGAAGACGAGATAATTCAAGTCTGTGTAAAAGTTCTTTTTTCTTTTGGCCTAATAATGTTTCAATATTGAACATATTGTTTTCGGTTGAAGGGTTCAAACTGCTTAGTGACAATGATATCTACATTGGAATATGCGTTCTTAACTCATGTTGACAGGCTTCTGCCAGCTGTTGAAGCGCTATGGGTCAGTCCCACACTCATCTTGCTACTATTCTCTGTATGATCATGCTATAAAGTACTTGTTGCATAAATATAATGACTACTAATATTCTCAACTTACACATATGAAGCATCATTATTTCTTCATCATCTTGCAGCAGGGTCGTGATAATTACTACTCAGATAGAGTGAAAGCAGTGGCAATCTCGATTTTTAACTTGATTTTGAAGGACTACCCAGATAAATTGCAGAGGTTTAATTTGTCATACATCAGAATTCAATTACGAGCCTTTAGTGTTCACGACTCATTCGTCTATGTTATATTCGATGATCAGGTATCGGGATACATATGCTCTGGTCGTCATGGACGCTTGTTACTCAGAAAGTCCTCAGCTTCGCCGGGTATTTATTTCTGCAAAATGTTCCAGCTGCTCTGGTTCTGTTGTCACTTATAAGCTTTTCTACATTTCTCATGGGGCAATGTAACTAATTATATAGGAAGCTGCACGTGGGATTGGTTTGTGTGCTACTCGTTGTGAAGTTATATCCAACTTCGATGCCCCCGGTAGCCTCCTTACACTCTTACAAATACAGAAAGGATGTAATAGCTGAGTAAACTTGTTTGATTGAATTTTGTGCAGTGGCTGTCGACAGCCTATGTTATGTAATAGAGTGCGGAACTGAATCGGAGAGTGTAATGACACATGATGCCGCTGTTTCAGCTTTGGGAAAAATATGTGAGTTCTGGCGTGACACTATCGACGGGTCTCATGTACGTAACATTTTTCTTTCAATCTAACGTGCTCTTGTATTTACTTTTGAATATACGTGTTGCATGTATAGATAGCTCTGGCGCGGCTTTTTTCCCCTGTATTATTTAATTTTGTCATAATATATGCTATATTTTGTTTCTGCTAAGCAGGTGGTTCAAGTCTGGCTAAACTTCTTGCCGTTGAGGAACGACTTCAAAGAAGCCCGGTATGCACACCAACTACTCTGTCAAATGTTAGAAAGGTACCGAAGTTCTCTCTCTGGTTTTTTTTTTTTTTGGCCCCCATTTTTCGAGTCCCATCCATTATCTTCGAAAGTAAGTTGGAAACTACTCTATATATTGTCGATCATCTTCTATTTCGTTTTAGGGCTGATCAGGATCTCTTGGGGCTTAACAACGAGAATCTTGGTCAGGCTACTCAAATTCTAGAAGAAGTAATGATTTCATGTTAAACTCCATTCTCTCTTTGCTTCGAATTCCAATAGATTTTGATTTATTTGGGTAAATTTCTTTCCTTGCAGATTTTATCGCAAAGTGACGATCTTGCAACTGAGGAAACGACATGCCGGATCATTTCTTTGCTGAGCCAATTTGGGGCCATGTCATGATCGTTTATTGAACTGCAAACCAAACACTTTTTTTAGGCAACGCCGCTATACGCGACTGTCTATGAGAGAGGGATTAAGAGAAGAGTGATCTTCTCAACGTGCGTAGATTAACATTATGTTATTGTAAAAATGAATAAGACACTAGTTGGGTAGTTGTCATTGATTTTCTCTTCGTCAATTGGGTCATTTTACATTGAGGCCGAATTTCTCAAACAACGTTGGAAATATATTCAGAGAAGTTGAAATTCCCAGAAACCCGGCCAGTCTAATTAAGTTACTCTATATTACATCAACTTATCATATGTGAGTTTTAATTAACACATCTAAGCGTTTAATTTCAATAGAAATATAACTTAAAAGCAGACAAAACAACTTTAACGAAATAAATAACACTTCCATCAACCTCTATAAATCCTGTGCAAATCAAAAGGTTAAAAATGCAATTCGATCCGTGGCGCAAGAATTCTCATCAACAACACGAACATCCCTTCTGCCTCAAACGTTTAAGAGATTTTTTTACACCATGATGCAACCAGAGCTGCCTCTCAAGAAGACGGGGAAAGGCCAATATTCTAGAACATTTTTATTCAGTATACAATCAAAACTGAACAGAACTGAGAACTCTAGTTATATCGAGAGTCTTAAAACAATATAATAATAATAATTTAAATTCAAATCTTAGATATAATTTAAATTTTAAAAAATGCTAGTAGGATATCTTAATATCTTATTTTATTGAAAATAATCTAATATCATGGTAAAATAAAGTAATAACTGATCATGATAGATAAGTATCCTTATTCAAGTATATCCTTAACTCACACTAAACCACAAACAACACTTGAAAAACACCAGAAACATTCCTACTCATGATTTGGAAACTCATTAAACCTTCAATCTTGAAGGTTTGTCAGGATAATGAAATATAGACTGTCCAAATTTTTTATCTAGATGATCTAAATTTAAATTTTATATTTATATTTATTAAAATAAAATATTATGAAAATTATAAAAAATTATACAAATCTATTCCTCTTCAATATAGATTGATTTAATTTAGATGACTAATTTAACGTAAGATATTTTGATAATTTTTATAAATTTGCTATCTAGATTTATTTTGGATAGTTCAGATTTAAATTTTTTAAATTCTAATAATTTTAAAAAATAATTTTTAAAATTGCCCATCAAAGAATTCTCTTTATTTTTAATATTTTATTTATCAGAATAAAAATTATAAAAAATTTTAATATTAAATATGAACTAAAATACATTTAAGTAGTCAAATTATAAAACTTACAAAAAAAGAAATATTAAGATAGTTCACCTAAATTAAATATGTATTGTTTAGGTTGATGATAAATATATTTATTAAAAATTTATAAACATATATTTTAATAATATAAATATAAATATAAAAAATTTAGGCCATCTAAATCAAACACATTGAAAAGGGACCCATGTCATGTGGCTTCAATGTGTGGGGCCCATCTAATGTTTTTTTTTTTTAAGTGAAATAGAGGCAAGCAAAAGCTTGAAAGAAAAACTATAAGAGAAGCTCCGTAACACCCTCAAATTTACAAACCGATTTTTCACAAATTATTAATTCAAGAAATCATTTTTTTTTTCTTTTTTTTTTTCATTGAACCCTTATCATACCCTTATCATGGTAGAAAAATTTCTACCATGATACATCCAAGACAATATACCACAGGTCTTAAAATATCTCAAAAAGCAATTAGAACCATGAGGGACAGACATGATCCTCATAGCATGTTATTTAAATTAGGTCATGAATCAAAAGGGACAGACATAATCCTCTTGGACATATAAATGCATTTAATAAAAAGGATTAGAGTTTACATGCTCCATAGACAAGATATGTCCTAAGTTGGCACAAGATACATTGTATAATCCAAAATAAGAGGCAACGTAAAAGATGGTGTCTCATACACCATAATTACACCTCTGGTGCTTTCTCGGCCGGATTCGCTCCTGTAAAAATATTAACCACGGGGAATGAGACTTAAAAGTCCCAGTAACCAAAAATTAATATGTAATGATGCATGCGGATGTAACTAATCATGCGATTGCTAAGTGGGCACACAAAACATTTAACCGAACAATACTTTCAAACAAACCGAACAAGTATTTAATTTGCATGACTGCACCTTATATCCTCCTTTCGCCATGCTCGGACGCCAAATCACCCGGCCAAAGGTGAGTTGGACCAAGCGACACGCCACTCATTGGGTCCAATGAGGGCTTACCACGTGGTAATAATTAACCGAACAGAAATTCCATTAACACCATACATTAAATACCCTGACAAGTCATGCATCATTCAAATATCCAAACAGGAATATATCCGAACAATAATATCTCATCATGATAAACAAAAATAAATTTTTAACCCACTTGGCAATAATTTCAAACAAGTATATACAGTATTTATTTTCAATAATTCATATTTTTTTCAAACAACAAAACAACACATAACCATTCACAAACACACCCATCACAACACATTAATAATGGTTACCTTGTGTCTTGAATAACAAGTTCCCCTTCACAACTCCTTTTTCACCACTATCTTTGTCAATATAATCTACATAATTATTTCACAATACTATATATTAATTTTACATTAAAATAAATAACTCTAATTTAAAGAGTTAGAAAGTCTTAATCTATAGTCCATATTAACACTAATTTAAGATTTATGCCTCATTTAACTTCCAAATTCTTTTCTAAAATTCTCGTACCCTAATGAACTATTTTTTTTTATCCTCAATTCACTTCTAGTATCACAATTTCATCCTTCTACATTCTAAAAATTCATCCAAAAATAAATTAAAAATTTTAGAATTATCCTGAAGCCTCAAATCACCTTTCTATAACCTCAAAAATACCTATTCATACTTAAATAAATATTTAATAATCATAGGTTTATCCCTACGTCTCAGATTCCACATAAATTCAACCATATAGATCTAGATTTTAACTCAAAAATTCTTAAACATGAGTTTCAACCTTAAAAAAATATTCTAAATATTTTTATTATATCCCTAAGAATTTTAACCTATATTTTTAATCCATCATATCATCAGATTAACTATCCTATAGAAAAATCCTAATCAAAATATTTACTCTATCCTACAAAATAATCATATCACTAGAAAGCTAATATTATTTAGAAAATAACTATAAAATTAATTTTGTAATTAAATAAATTTTTAAATGCTAATCTAAACAGGAAAGTTAGAACATACCTGAAGAAAAAGAAAATAATCCCCCCTTGCGAGAAAACGCCGAGCAACGTGAGAGGAAGAGAGAAAAATAATATAAAAATGGGATTGTGAGTCCCAAAATTATATTAAAAAAAAACTATAGGTTTGAATTTAATTATTCAAACCTTTGGGCCAAAAGTTGCAATTTTCTCTAAATTGCATCTTAGCCTCTCATGCTTCCTAATGCACACACCCCTCCTTTTTATACATGAAGGCACCTCTTCTCTTCCCTCATCTAACCAATGTGGGACTTAGAAACAACAACCTTCCACCCCCTTTTTTTTTGTTCCTTCTACCTTCTCTCTTTTTTTTTTCAACACATACATAAAAAAAATTATTTATGTATTATATCTTAACTAAATATTGCTTATGTGGTTTTAAATTTAAATTTTTAAATTCATAATTAAATACCTAACCATAATATTATTTCTAAATAACCTCAAATAATATAAATTCCTATTATTATCATTTTTTTCTCAAAACCTAAATTCCACAATTTCTTTATTATATAAAAAATCAGGATGTTACAATTCTCCCCTCCTTTTAGAAATTTTGTCCTCAAAATTTAATAGATAAGCTTAGAAACTATGTACCTAAGCAAATAAATGTGGATAATCTCGCCTCATACTCTCCTCGGTTTCCCAAGTAGCATCACCTAGGGCTCCACCCTTCCAAATCACCTTCACGAGTCGGATGGTCTTATTGCGTAGTTGTTTGTCCTTAAAGTCCTCAATTCGCTCCGGTTCGGATCTAAAGGTCAAATTCTCCCTCAATTCTACTTCTTCAGGTTCAATAACATGGGAGGGATCCGGGTTGTACTTCTTCAACTGTGATACGTGGAACACATTATGGATACCTGCAATCTGTGGATGGTAATGCAACTCTATATGCAGTAGATCCAATTCGCTCCAAGATCTCATACGGGCCCATAAATCTAGGTGTCAATTTCTTTGCCTTAATGGATCTACCAATGCCTGTCACTGGAGAAACCTTCAAAAATACATGATCTCCTACTTCAAACTCTAACGCGCCGTCTCCTCTTATCAGCATAGCTCTTCTGTCGGCTCTGAGCGGTTAGCAATTTTTGCTTAATCATTGCAATCTTCTGGGTGGTCTGCTCTACAATTTCTGGACCAATGATACTCCTCTCACTTAATTCTGTCCAACACAAAGGCGATCTACACTTCCTTCCATACAAGGCCTCATAAGGCGCCATCCCAATACTAGAATGATAGCTGTTATTATAAGCAAATTCAGCTAATGGCAAATGATTATCCCAACTACCTGGTAGTTCAATGGCACAAGCTCTCAACATGTCCTCCAAAGTCTGGATCGTCCTCTCTGTTTGTCCATCTGTTTGGGGGTGGTATGCGGTGCTAAAACTCAGTCTGGTACCCATAGCCTTCTGTAGCGCACCCCAAAAGTTTGAAGTGAACCTTGGGTCACGATCTGACACAATTCTAGAGGGTATACCATGAAGTCTAACTATCTCCTTAATGTATATCTCAGCAAATTTCTCTAATGTAGAGGTAAACTTGATCGCCAAAAAGTGAGCTGATTTGGTGAGTCGGTCTACTATCACCCAAATAGCATCCTTACTCGAGGGTGTTCTTGGCAGTCCAGTGATGAAATCCATGGAAATATCATCCCATTTCCACTTTGGAATATCTAACGGTTGCAGTGTTCCAGCTGGCTTCTGATGTTCTATCTTTATCTTCTGACACGTTAAACATCTAGAAACAAATTCAGTTACATCTTTCTTCATTCCTGGCCACCACCAACCTCGCTTCAAATCATGGTACATTTTAGTTATACCGGGATGAATTGTATATTTGCTCCTATGAGCTTCTTCTAAAAGGATATTCCTCAATCTTGGATCATTAGGTACACAAACTCTACCTTTATACTCATCACTGTGTCCTCAGAGATGGTAAAATTTGGGGCCTTACCTACCACTATCTCCTTCCTTATATTCTTAAGTAGTCATCACTCTGCTGTGAGACTCTGAGATCTTCCCAAATTTGCTCTCAAAGTCTGCTACCTGGAGTGCGGCCATTTGATGTTCAATCACATCTACTGGAACATCATGAAAACTGTTCCATAAATGATATTCATGAACCATCAAATGTGCAGCATGAATAGTCTTTCTACTTAAGGCGTCAGCTACCACGTTAGCCTTACCCGGATGGTAATGTAATTCAAAGTCATAATCCTTCAGAAATTCCATCCATCGTCGCTGCCTCATATTAAGCTCTTTTTGATCAAATAAATACTTCAGGCTCTTATGGTCACTGAAGATTTGAAACTTAGATCCATACAAGTAGTGTCTCCATATCTTCAGAGCAAACACAACTGCAGCTAACTCCAAATCATGTAGGGTAATTTTCCTCTGTGTGGTCTCAACTGTCTGGAGGAATAGGCAACCACTCGGTCATTTTGCATCAAAACACATCCTAAACCCTTTAAAGAAGCATCAGTGTACAGAGTGTACGGCACCACAGGGTAGGAATAGTCAATACTGGAGTAGTGGTTAACCTCTTTTTCAATTCTTGGAAAGCAGCTTCACATTTGTCAGTCCAAATAAATGGGGCATCCTTCTTAGTCAGCTTAGTTAAGGGCATCGCAATTTGCGAAAATCCCTTAATAAAGCGACGATAATAACCTGCTAAACCTAAAAAGCTTCGTATCTCTGTAACAGATTTTGGCTGTTCCCACTTCATCACTGCATCAATCTTGCTAGGATCCACCGCAACTCCATCTCTGGACACAACATGGCCCAAAAACTTTACTTCTTGGAGCCAAAATTCACACTTGCTTAATTTGGCATAAAGCTTATGTTCCCTCAAAACTTGCAAGACGATTCTTAAATGTTCACCATGAGCCTCCTCATCCTTTGAATAAATAAGAATGTCATCAATAAACACTACTACAAACTTATCTAAATAGGGTCGAAAGATCCTATTCATGTAATCCATGAATACCGCAGGAGCATTCGTAAGTCCAAACGGCATCACCATGAATTCATAATGCCCATATCTCGTCCGAAATGCTGTCTTAGGTATATCCTCTGCTCTCACTCTCAATTGGTGGTACCCTGACCTTAAGTCAATCTTTGAGAAAACTGCGGATCCCACAAGCTGATCCAGCAAATCATCGATTCTCGGAAGTGGATATTTGTTCTTGATGGTTACTTTGTTCAATTGTCTATAATCAATGCACAATCGGAGGCTTCCGTCCTTCTTCTTTACAAAAAGGACTGGAGATCCCCAAGGTGAAACACTCGGTCTGATGAAACCCTTCTCAAGTAGCTCTTCAATTTGCTTTTTCAGTTCCGCTAACTCTGAAGGGGACATCCGATAAGGAGCCTTAGAAATTGGCCCTGTACCGGGTACCAATTCAATTGAGAACTCTACCTCGCGCTTTGGGGGTAAACCGGAGACTTCGTCTGGAAATACATCCGCAAATTCTTTGACAATTGGGATATTCTTCACGCCTTCATCAATCTCAGCTTGGATAGAGAAGAAAACCATGTAGGCCTGGCAACCCTTCTTCATACATCTATCAACTTGCGCCGCCGACAAGAAACATGATCTTGAGTCTCGACTGGGGTCACCGACAAAGAAGATAAAGACACACTCCTCTCTCTACAATCTAGGATAGCACCATTTGCAGCCATCCAATTCATTCCCACAATTACATCCATACCTCTCAGTGGTAGGATAATTAAGTCCATAGTTGTTTTCCTATTTTTAAACTCGACTACTAGGTTAAGGCATGCCTTAGCGGTCCTCACAGATTCTCCCGCAGGAGTAGACACATTCATATCAAAAGGTAAAATACACACAGGCAAATCAAGGTTCTTTACACAAGTTTCAGAAATAAAAGAGTGTGTAGCACCCGAATCAAATAGTGCAACAATATCATGATGAAGGATTTTGATGTTACCTCTAATGGCATCTGGGGAGTTCATGGTGTCCTGAGTAAGAGCAAACACACGACCAGAGACAGTAGGATGTTGGGAAGGGTTCTTCATATTTGAGCCCTGGTTGTCCCCACAAAACTTTGCAATGTGACCGGGTTTCCCACAAATGTAACAGACCCAGCACTGTCCGAAATGACGACGCCCGCATTTAGTGCACTGTTGAGAGCTCGCTGTACTCGGGGCAGGGTAGATACTGTTGGGCTCCTCTGTGACCCGTGATAACTACTATGATAGCTCCTCTGTCCTTGGCCCCTTTGAAATGGACCCTTCTGCCTTCCTTGGTTCCATGAGCTACTCGAACCCTGATGGTTTTTCTTCATAATGCCTCCGGTGGGTCGAGGGTAGGTTGGGGGTCTACTATATGAATAACCCCTCTTCTCTCTCTCAACCTCCTTCTTACTGCGAGCTACTACTTGTAGTTTTTATGCACATTTCATCATAATCTCGGATATCTAGATGAGCCAATTGTTCCCTCAATTCTGGTCTAGCCTTCTCCAATAAGCGCTTAGCCTTCCATTCGGAATCATCCCTATACTGCAGGTACGTGGAGTATCTAGATAACTCCTGAAACTTAGCAATGAATGTGTCCTCATCGAGGTTCCCTTGCTTAAAGGCATGGAATTCCGCTTCCTTCTCAGACCTTAACTCTGATGGAAAGTAATGCCTGAATAATTTTTCCTTGAATTCCTCCCAGGTGAGTGTAGAATCATCCCTGGGCCCTGCTGTCTCCCACCAATCTCTTGCTCCTTTCACTAGGAGCACTAATGCTACTTGTACTTTTGATTGCTGGTGCATGTGACTACTCGAAAGATGGATTCGAGTCTCTTCACCCATTCCTCTACCACGGATGGTTTAAGGTTACCATCAAACGTAGGAGGGTTAAACTTCCTAACAGTTTCCCACACATCAGTAATGGTCGGTGGGGCTCTCTGTTCCTCCTGCCTAATTTCTTCCTTCTAGACTCATGATCTCTCGGAGTGGCAGGATGTGAGGAACTGCCTTCCCCCACATGACTCTCAACATGAGCCCTATCTCCATTTTCAGTTACTTTTGCCTCTTTAGCTCCGTCAACTCTTGTTCGTATCCTTGAACCTTGTCTGTTAATGTTTTTACAAGCATTCTAATTCCGCCAAGTCAGGCTCCTCATTTGGCAGTGGCGGTGGCAGGTGCTCATGTTGGAATCCTGAGTTACCACGAGTAACAGGCATTTTCTCTCCCCTCCTAAAGGATACAAGATATAAATAATAAAATTAGCCTAGCTATATCATGGCCATACAATGAGAAGCACCATAACAATGTATATTGCCAACCGACTATATGCTCTGATACCAAATGTAACACCCTCAATTACAAAACCGATTTTCACAAATTATTATTTCAGAAATCATTTTTTTTCTTTTTTTTTCATTAACCCTTATCATACCCTTATCATGGTAGAAAAATTTCTACCATGATACATCCAAGACAATATACCACAGGTCTTAAAATATCTCAAAAAAGCAATTAGAACCATGAGGGACAGACATGATCCTCATAGCATGTTATTTAATTAGGTCATGAATCAAAAGGGACAGACATAATCCTCTTGGTCATATAAATGCATTTAATAAAAAGGATTAGAGTTTACATGCTCCACAGACAAGATATGTCCTAAGTTGGCACAAGATACATTGTATAATCCAAAATAAGAGGCAACGTAAAAGATGGTGTCTCATCACACCATAATTACACCTCTGGTGCTTTCTCGGCCGGATCGCTCCTGTAAAAATATTAACCACGGGGAATGAGACTTAAAAGTCCCAGTAACCAAAAATTAATATGTAATGATGCATGCGGATGTAACTAATCATGCGATTGCTAAGTGGGCACACAAAACATTTAACCGAACAATACTTTCAAACACCGAACAAGTATTTAATTGCATGACTGCACCTTATATCCTCCTTTGCCATGCTCGGACGCCAATCACCCGGCCAAAGGTGAGTTTGGACCAAGACCACGCCACTCTTGGGTCCAATGAGGCTTACCACGTGGTAAAATTAACCGAACAGA